CCGCAAAAAGTCAGCTAAGGAGTTAGCTAGAGAAAAAGCATTTTCTATCTGCAGCCAGCTCACAACTGTGGGTTGGGTCATTGCCATTACCAGGTAAGTCAAGGAAGCTGCCTCATGATACAGTCTTAAATCTGGTGTGTCCATACCTCCACGTTCTCTGGGGTTATGAACCATCTTAAAATTAAGCCAAGACTTTTTGTTAGCCCATAAAAAATAATTCAGCTCTTGTTGCCATACTTTCAATTGCAACTGAGGTATTTTAACTGGCAATGCCCTAAATTAAAAAATGTATCTGGGAAGGATGAAACTCTTAACCAGATGGAATCTGTCTGGCCACAAGATATGCATGTTGTTCCATCTTTTCATGCTATTGCATACCTCTTCTTGAAGGTGATGGTAATTGACCTTCAATAGATCTTTCAAGTCACTTGGGATAAAAATTCCCAAGTGTCTCCATGCCTTCTCAGTCCATTTAAACCTAAATTCATTTTCAAGAGTCGCTTTTGCTTCAGAAGTAGATATATTGGAAATACCTCTGTTTTGGACAGATTTACTCGCAATCCAGACAGATGTCGAAATTTCTCTAGTATTGGAAGCAACGTTTGCAGAGAAGATACAGGGTTACTTAAATAGAGAACCAGATCATCTGCATATAAAGACATTTTATGGACTTGAGTACCAATTTTAATTCCCGAAATGAATGGATTTGTTCTTATTGTCTCCACCAGGGGTTCATAAGCAAGGTTGAACAGGAAAGGGGACAAAGGGCATCTTTGCCGCGTACCCCGTTGCAGGGAGATCTTTGAAGAGTAATACCCATTAACTAACTTTAGCTGAGGGGGACTCATATATCGCCTGAAGTGCATTCAAAAAATTTGGTCCAAAGCCCATTCTTTTATAAACTGACCGTAGGAAAGCCACTTCCAAAGAACTGAAAGCCTTTTCCACATCCAGTGCCAAAATGCTACTGTCTATCTTAGATTTCTGACCAAAAGATAGTATATCCAGAGAGCGCCTAATATTATCTATCATATTTCTCTTGGGGATGAATCCCAGTTGGTCTGGACTGATCATCTCCGAAAGTAAATTTCTTAGTCTGTTGGCTAATACCTTTCCAAAAATCTTAGCATCCACCTTAATAAGAGAGATAGGCCTGTAAGATGAAGGTGATGTAACATCTTTATTATCTTTTGGGATTGTCGTGATGGTTGCCTTGACCATGATTTAGGCATTGATCCATTATCCAAGATGTTATTGCATATCTCTGTAAAGAAGTCAACAAGGTCATCTGTGAATAGCTTATAAAATTGCAGGGGAAAGTCATTACTGTGAGCTGTAATGTTCTTTAACTGCTTAATCACCCTTCGTATCTCATCTGTGGAAATAGGCTCATCCATCCAAGTACATTTTTTATTTATTATTTAGATTTCTATCCCGCCCTCCCCACAGGCTCAGGGCGGCTAACAGGGCATAATGGCCAGATAAAACAATAAAACAATATAAAATGTTAAATTACACATAGACAATTAACAAACAGTTAAATAACATCCTAAAACAGGTGTTATATGTTTCACTACATCATGATTCTGCAGAAAGTTCTCATTTTCTTTGTCATCTGGGCATTTAGAAGTGTACAAATGCTTATAAAAGTCTGCCATAATGTGTGTAAGAGCCTTTGAGTTTGTATGGACATGTCCGTCATTGTCTTTTAGGGCAAAAGTATGTTTAGTGTGGTTTTCCCCTTTAACTCTCCATGTTAGTATTCGAACAGTTTTAGGTGTCTTCTGCCATGTATCCTGTTTAAGGAAAAGTAATTTCTTCTTAATCTTTTGAGTATCCAAGGCTTCGAATACTCTTCTTTCAGCTAACAACTTAGAGTAGATTTTGGCATTACCAGTTCATTTATGTTCAGTTTCTAAATATCTAATTTTTTCAAGTAAAGAGTGAACTTTTGCCTCTCTATCCCTTTTCAAATGTGAAAAAGAAGAAATCAGCTGGCCTCAAAGGACTGCCTTTAATGCATCCCATTTTATAATGGGAGAGACCTTGCAACCTTTATTATCATCTATATAATTTTTAATGCATGTAGTGACCTGCTCTTTTATGGAGTCCAGCATTATAACTGATTTGTTTAATGACCAAAGTTTGTCTTTTCTTGATGAGTCAAAGTTATTAAGGTAACAGTGGTGTATGATTGGTCCAATTTTTTTGTCCACTTTCTGCCTGGGTCAGCCTACTCATCAGTGTATCAGAAAGAAGGATATAATAAATTATAGAATTTGATCCATGTTGTGGAGAAAAGAAGGTGTAATCTCGTATAGATGGATTCCAGAGCCTCCAAGCGTCAGAAAGGTTATATTTTTCCAGCAATCGTGCTAAGGAAAAATCTGTTTTTAAAGGTTTGGTCGATTTTTGTAATGGGTTGGACCAATCTAAGTTTTTATCCATAATGAGGTTTAAATCTCCTCTGATCATAACCTCTCCCTCTTGAAAATCTTCTAACTTTGATAAAGTAGACTCCAAAAATGGGAACTGCTCCTTATTCGGAACATATACGGACCCCAGTGTGGTAAGGACTCCTTCTAAATATCCTTTGACAAAAATATGACATCCCTGTGCAGTGTTCCCTCTAAGATGAGCTAGTGTGAGCTAGCTTACAGTTTTTTAGCCTCCGGCTCACACCTTTTTGTCTTAGCTCAGGAAGGAGGGCTCCAGAGCACACTAATTTATGCAGTAGCCAAATTGCTCGCTCACAACTTTAATGCCAATAGCTCACAAAGTAGCATTTTTGCTCAGAAAATTCCACAGCTTAGAGGGAGCACTGCCTGTGGGTCCTTCGTTTTTTCTTTCAAAGTAAAACAAAGGGACTGAGTGAGCAAAATTGCCACACCCCTAGATTTTGATGAACCAGCAGCTCTAAATTGTAGTGGATACTGTAAAGAGGACAAAGTAGGATATTGGTCTTTTTTTTTTTTTGGATGCGTTTCTTGGATAAAAAGAATATCAGGTTTCATCCGGAGTACCTGTGTAGTAGTTCTAAAATGCTTCATACAGTTATTAAGACCGCGTACATTAAGTGTTGTTAATTTCATATTTAAAACCAAAATATCCAACAGAATCAGCACAGATCTGACAACCAATCACTGTAATAGCTCGAAAGACTTGATAAGCACTAGTGCAAAGCTAAAATGTTTTAAAGCCAATCAGGGGTTATATAAAATACTGTTCGGAAATAGTTAATAAAAACAATTCATATCATTTGAATATTGAAAAATTCTTATCAAACTATATAAAAATACCTCACACAATTTTACACTCTTAACACACAACAAAATCTACTGTGTTACTTCTACTACTTCTTTACTTCTCTCCACTCCGGAAATGCACAGTGATGTTAATTACTCCTCCTCCTTCTATAAACTCACTATACCGCCCATCTCCTACTTTAATCCGTTTATACTAAAACATCTCCAGTCCTTACCCCAACCCTTCCTTTTCCTTCTCCCCAAAAACCTAGCCAACTCTTCTCTTTTTTATTATTTAAGCTAAAATTTTCTCTATAATTCAAAGGATGCTGGCCGCCTCTTCTTGGCGTTCTTGAGTCCGAATACCCACTGAACTGCGCAGCCAATAGCTGCACTTCCTATAAGAGCCAAAGGTAACCAGAAAAGAAAAGGACTGCCAATCAAACTTGACAAGCTTTTACCTTGTATCACTTATAGTTCTGTTTTAGAGTCTCACATTTTGTGCAACAGGTCACAGTGCCTGTTATTCTGGAGCATATTAACTTTTGAGAAGGGAGATAAAGTAGGCATAGATACTATCATGCCTCACTAGAAAACTACTTGAAGCCCCATGTAAGCTGCTCTGGGCTTTCTAGAGGAATATTGTTGGTCTTAAGTTATGTATTATGTTGTTCTTAACTTATGTTCTTATTCTGAACTGTTGGTAGAAAAACAAGGTCACACACATTACATAGAATGTTTTCCATATGGTAAAATATAGCATCTACCTCAGCTGTGCTGGTTTAACCAATGAGATATCATTGTAGACTCATTCCCTTCCACCATATCCTGGGGATGACAAAGGAACATGTCTGTGGAGGTCCACTTATCCCAGCCCTACCAAGTACTGGAGAAAGTAAAAATGACAGCAGAGGAAAGCCTTTGATGAAGAGAGCCCAACTGCTATTCTTCCAAGTGACATCAAATAGCTCTAGCACAGCCAAAATGAAAAACAGTGCCAAAGTGGGCATTTCTGGCTGCATCACATTGGTAACACTAGAACACAGGATGATGTTCAGAAGGAGTAAAACCATCAAATCACAGCAGTAGGGCCCATTAGAAATGAAGCAGTCCCACTGGGGCATTTTATTTGCACACTCCAGTAGAGTGGATGCCAAAGGCTTTGCTAATGCTTCATGGGCTGCTAATTTCCTCTCTGACCCTTTTTGTTGAGAAGTGACCCCAGCCAGAATCCCTCTGCAATGAATGCCAAAGCCTGACACAGGTCTGGGTTAGGGGTGACAAAGAAGCCTCTGTGGGCTTTTAATCAGGCTCTAGTTTGCAGTTTAAGAACTGGGATGGGGGGCTGTGACTCTCTAAAGATCTGGGTGGCACAATAAGGGAGGCCCCAGGGTCTCCCATGGAGGCAGCCCGCAGCCTGCAGAAGACAGCTTAAAGAATTTGTCAGGCGGGAAGAGAAGAGGGGGAGGAGAGAGGAGGGAAAAGGAGAGGAGGATGGCTTCTTTTGTGAAAAAAGGTTTCTTTAGAAAGGAAGGTTTTTCACTGAATGCCCCCATTAGATGACCCAATCAGGTCCTGGCAGATGGATATCACAGGCATGCTGCTTATTCATAGCAAGCTGCAGCTTTTACTGCTCTCCCTCCCTCAACCCCCACCCTACCCCTCCCTATTCCCTCAAGCCTTCATTCATTTTAAGACTAATTTGTTTTGTTAATATTTTCTTTTTTTTTCCTGCCTCCTCGTCTCCTCCTGAAGACTGTGATTTCTATTGCAAGGCATCCAAAGGGAAGCTGAAGATCAACATGAAGAAGTATTGCAAGAAAGACTATGGTGAGCTAACTCCTCCTCCCCCAAAATATTGCTGTATAGTGCACGTGTATGGGACAAGTTATGTCCCATTTGTTTTCTGATATTCAAGTGTTGAACCCCTCCCCCTGGAAGGATATGCTTGCATAGTCTGGACTGGGAGAAGGTACCTGCCATAGAGGCTGCAGATGGGTACCGCTAGGCTGCGTTCACACGGGCAATTTGATCAGTTCCCCTTGCTGTTCCCTTATGGATTTAAAGTGCACGATCAGACACCAACATCTGTCTGTCATGCCTGAGTCGTCTGAGTTCCATTCCCCCCTCCCCTTGCCCCGTGTTTCGTTTGATATCTGATAAAGTCCGATCCTGTTGGTCTGAGCCGTTTCAAAAATGGACTTCCTGTCGTCTAGTCACTCTAGTCAGGCAGGTCTGACTGAGCTCTTGCTTTCCGGCCACCATCCCACCCCCCTAGTTAGCAAGGATCGCATGACTGTCTATATGCACCTCCCCCCTGGGGGGGGGCTGCTCAAAACCTTGTTTTCTTTTGAAAAACTCTTAAAGAAAGACACCCCTTTTTCTGCAGCTTTTTAATATCGTTTGGGGAAGGGGTAAATGGAAAAGATTAGAGGGAAGACGGCAGTGGACTCCATTTTCCAGCAGTCTCTTCACCACTTGTGCTATTGCTCCGTGGACTTAATTTTAAAAGAAAATGGCCGACAGCCCCATGAACTCCATATCCCAGCATGCTGAGTGCTTCTGGGCATGCTCCTAAGGGCAAACTTCTAAAAAAAATGGCTGACGGGCTGACTCCCTGGTTTCTGCCGTCTGGTCATGAAAGGAGGGGTAAAATGGCATTGAAGCGTGCTAAAATGGCTGAATCTGGTCAGGATTCTCTGCCACAAAATAACTTGGCTTAATTTGAGGTGGGGCCACAGTGGATTAAACTGCCCATTTGAACGCAGCCCTAGTGTAGACAAGAAGAGTCAGAATGGCAAGTGAGGCTTTGTTCTGTGAGACTCAGCTTCACATGTCTGTTCAGTGATGAAACATATTGAATATCTTTCAGTATTTTACCAAGAGTCAGCCTTGCTTGAGTACAGTAGGGGATAGCTATTTGTATGTGTGTGTACGTTTGGGGGAATACTAGAGAATGCCAGTGATCTCCTTATTGATGAGGGAGTCAGAGAATTCAGTGCTCATCAAGGGACTGACTAGAGAAGAGCAGATATATCAGAGGAAGCACAAGAGCCACAAAGAAGATAATTTTGGGGTTGTTTTTGCATGTACATAGGTTCTGTGTGTTATGACAGTGAAAGGACATCTACAAGCAGTTGTGCTCATAACAAAGGCTTTATTGAACTGCCAAGTGTAGGCTGAGAGAGTCAGAGCACTGTTCCCTTAGAACCCGTCCCCTAGGAACACAGCCCCTGTTAACATAGTTCCTTTTATCATGATACATCCTTTCTGTTTTACAATTGTTTAAAAACAGAACCACAATCAATAAATCCACTAAATGAACTGTCTGATCTCTGTTTAACCCTAGAACTGAATTCAATAAATCAGTACTAAAGCAGGGTCTCTTGTTGTGTCCTAACTCAGTTATATAATCTTTAAATTATGCTGGTCTTATCCATGGGTCCCTATATTGTGAGTGCTCACTATTAGTTTCTGATCCTGGTTCTTGTTCATTCAAGATGATCTTTTTCATCCTAATGATCTTCCCTTTCAGCAGATTTATAGTCTGGAGGTATCTCTCTTCTGCCATCACTTCCTGTTGCTCCCTGAGTTGTTCCTGCATATTGTATCTGTTAGATCACAGTTGTCATCTGTTCCTATGAATCACTGGCCCTCCTCCTGTAATAACTTTGTGTGATGTGAGTGCTACTTCTACTTTCACCATTCCTTTGGTCCATTGCTTTTGGTTCTTTCCTTCTGGCTGGATTCTCATTGGTATGCCAGGAATCAGAGGTGTTAAGTCTTTTGCAGACGTATTATTTTTTAAAAAATCTTGTCTTCTCTTTGGATCATTTCTTCCCTGCAATGTCCTCTATCAGATCTCCTCTGATAGGCAGCAGAGTTTTTGTCCTCCACCCCATTACTGCTTGTGCTGGACTGGTCAAGCAACCTTTTGGTGTAGTGGTTAGGAGTGCGGACTCTAATCTGGGAGAACCGGGTTTGATTCCTCACTCCTCCACATGCAGCTGCTGGGTGACCTTGGGCAAACCACAGTCCTCTCAGAGCTGTTCTCTCAAGAAGAAGAGTAGGTTGGATTTATACCCCGCCCTTCACTACCCAAGGGAGTCTCAGAGTGGCTTACAAACTCCTTTCCCTTCCCCTCCCCACAACAGACACCCTGTGAGGTAGGTGGGGCTGCGAGAGCTCTGACAGAAACTGCTCTTTTTCAAAAACAAATGCCGGGGCGAAGCTTCGCCCAAGCGCATATCACCGACCTAAAAAAAAAACTGCGGGCGAAAATCAGAAGCCTTGGGCTTCCGAACTGAAGTGGGTCTACAACGGTGGAGAGCGATCAGATGGGGGGGGGTTAAGCGATTACAACCGTTGCACTCAGATTACAACCGTTGCACTCAGGATACCACCACATGGGGACCTAGTGGCAGAATACAATGGTTTAAAGCTCTTTGCAACGGTTAGGGAGGGAAGGCAGATGTTCGCCGTGTGAACGCCGGTAAGTACAGCGATTCCAACCGGCACCTATACCGTTGCAAATGCCCCATCTGAATGCACCCACTGATGGATTCAATGTCCTGGCCCCCCCTTCAGACTTACTGCTATTACCCTGTTTTCCCAAAAATAAGACCTACCCCAAAAATAAGCCCTAGCAGGATTTCTATGCATTTGTGGCATACGCCCTAGTGTATCTTCTTGAGAAAAAATAAATATAAGACAGTGTCTTATTTTCGGGGAAACACGGTAGGTGTCTATGCTCTGCTAAGGCTGTTGGTTAGTACCATTAGTCAACCTGGACAATATTTGATCTCCACATCATAGCACTGCAATTCACATCAACATTGCCTGTAATTACTTCACTAAAGGTTTTGTGATTATTGTCTCAAGAATTTTATGGTTTGAAAACACAATGGGTGTGATCACACTAGCAGCTTGGCGTGATATGGGGCTGCCTCTCATTGTACTGGTTAAAAATGTTGCAGGGCATATCATCCAGACAGCACACCCTGCTGCGAGTTACCCACGCAGTCATCCTGTGGTCAAGCATTCACATTACTGCAGTGCCTCAGCCATGAAGTGCGCTGCCTTGTCATTTTTTTAAAAATGCAGGTGGGTGCATGCGCATAGGCAAAAACTAAAAAAAACACACCAAAAAAACCCAGCGGCAGAAATGGATCTGCAGGTTCAGACTGCTGGTCCATTCTGCACATGGTTCCCCACATTCAGACATCCTGCCATGTGCAATGAATGCACAGGGAACCGAAAACACCACTTGTGATATGGTGCTTTTTAACCTGGCTCCAAGTCATTCTACAGTGGGGTGAGTATGCCTGGGGAATGCCTGACAGTTGTGGCTGTGTGACTGCACCCATTTAATCCGGAGGGGAGGGGTGGCTATTGTAAAATACTGGGTTCGCCACATGGAAGACTCAGACCATGACGTACGTTCAGACGCATTTATTGTACTTCACACAGGAACTGCAAAATGGCCCTGCAAGGCCAACTATATACACACCCACCCAGCACACCCACAGTCCCGTTGGAGGGTTTGAATTTCCCACCAAAGTTGCTATTGGTTCATGCTGGGGGAACTAGGATCCTAGACTTCTATTGTTTAGAGGAGCTAAGCTCCACACTGTAGCCATGGACCCCTGGTGGCGGTCCACATACAGAACACCCCTCCCCCCATAGTTCCGACCCCACCTATGTGATATAGTCCTGTAAATAGGTGGGGGGGCGGCACTCTCTGAGGGAACGCTGGGGGGCTGGCACTGGGTCACTGGCGACGGTCTTCAGTTGACGGGCTGTGACCTGGGGCTGGGGCGTCTGTCGTGGCGGCTGAAGTGCCTCTGGCTGTGTTGGTTCTGGTGGTGGTTCACTCGGAGGGGCCTCCTCGATGCTCGGGGGGTCAGGCTGGACACTGGTCCCTGGGGTGTGTGCCCCGATTCCCACAGCCAACAGGGGTGGCTCTCCTGCCTCCGGAAGCTGTCATCACCTCAGTTAGTCAAGGTGTTTCTTTAAGAGCCTGCCGTCTTCTGTCGAGACCTTGTAGGATACTGGACCCGTGACTTTGATAACTCTGTTTGCGGTCCAGGGGGTTCTGGTTCCATAGTTCCGGATGAACACTGGGTCCCCTGGGAAGAACCCTCTCAGAGCATCGCGCTGTTCTACCATCTTCTTTGAGTCCAGTGCTCAGTCAGGGTGTAGCCGATCCAATAAGGGCGGGGGGCGCCAGCCCATTAACAATTCTGTGAGGCTGTGGCCGGTGACGGGGTTAGGTGTTGTCCTCTGGATCAGGAGGAAACGGGCTAGCCAGAACTCCCAGTCCCCGTCCGTGATCCTACTGAGGGCTTCCTTCGCAGTGCGCACCATCCTCTCTGCCTGACCTTTGGTTGCGGGGTGGAAAGGTGTGGATTGGATGTGCCATATCAGGTTCCTCTGGAGAAAGTCTTGGAACTCCGCCAACATGAAGGCTGTCCCATTATCAGAGACTATCGTGTCTGGCAGCCTGTGAGTAGCGAAGATCCGGCGGAGGGTCCAGATTACGGCTTTCATGGAGGTGGTAGACATTGGGCTGATCTCTAGCCACTTAGAGTAGGAGTCAACGGTCACTAAGAACAACAGTCCCTGGAATGGTCCAGCAAAATCGATGTGCAGCCGGGACCATGGTTTGCGAGTTGACTCCCAAGACTGGGTTGGTGCGCTTGGTGGGTTTGACCGTACTTCCTGGCAGGTTTGGCACCTCTGGATCCACGACTCGATCTCGGCGTCGATCCCCAGCCACCACACATAGCTTCGGGCCCGTGCCTTCATCCTCATGATGCCTGGATATGCCT